ATGCGCTAGATTCCAGACCGTTCCGCGCGGCGGCCATTTATGAATACGGTGTATTGTAATCTATTATCGAGTTTCATCTTTACGTCAAATAATAAATCAATCAATTGCTCGGTATATATAGTGGCATCATCTTTCCATGTATTTGACATACCGTAGTTCAATCGAGCGACGGATAGATGCCGAAGCTCGTCCTTTAGCTAGTTGCTCTCGCTATATGTCATTATGTGGTGGGTTCTATGGCTTGCCAATTTGATTGCAGTTTCGGGGAGCGATATATCTTGCGGGGATGCTATCAATAACTGCCAAAAGGACTTCGCAGGATGCGGATTGGCACTCTACAAAATTTTTAAAAGAACAAAGTGTCTTACCGCGTTAGGTCTCGCTTTTGAATCGGTCGGGATCCGAGTAACCAGACCGATGAAAAAGACTTGTCCACTGAGTTGTGTGAGTGCGATCAACAACCTAACCGCTACGAATGCAGGTAAAGCGATGGAAACATGTAACTGTCGCAGAGACTCAACGTGTCTAACATCGAAGGCACGCTTGAAGCGATGCGTCCTCAGTAGAACTACAAATTACACTGTCTTTAGTTGCACCCAGGCTAGAAGACGATGTAATGACAACAAGGATTGTAAACGAATACAATTTAGCTTTTTGAGGCGATGTACAAAGCTTATCTCGGGTTTGGAATGCACAAAGGATTGTTTAAACAGCCAAGACGAATTGCTGAATTCAGATCTGGGTAAAGCGCTCAACGATTGCGAGTGCGACGGGTTTGAGGAGCCGTACTGCCGTGGTATTCGCGCAAACTACGAGGAACTGTGTGTTGGACCCAGAGGGCCTCGCAATTCGGACGCCAGTCTTACTCCTCTTCCAACAGAGAATATAGTACAGAAATTAAGATCTTCTGGACAAACTCGCTCAGCCTTTTCACAGTTTGAGCTTCCTGTATGGATTCTGTATGCTGCAATCGCGGCATATGTATACATGTTTTACAATCTATAGCCGTATTGTTTACTTATAAACCAGACTTTGGACAGATCCTGTTCGATAGGAAATTGGAAAATTTGTGCGCCAGCTTTCATTGCTTCATTCGCGTTGTTTTTATAAGTGTTGTAGCCGCTCCAAATGTTATCCAGTTGTGCCATGCGTTTTCAATCGCCGTCCACAGCACTGTACATCGCATGCATGCTGACAAAAAAAATCCTTTCGGAAGAATTGTACAAAGCTTTCCATCCTGTCCAAATATTTTTTGGATTATTGCTAGGGTTGTTGATAATTTTAAAGTTGAATCGAGCTCATCAAGTGTTTATATAACATTTTGGAATTTGGGTTTTATTTTGGTTGAGTTCACTGTCAGGCCTCCCGGCGTAACGCTCGACATACGCGGCGTTATTAGAAGAAAGAGATTCGATTAGCGGAGCGATTTGAGTTCATCTTACTTAAGGACGTTTGAACGAGATAGCATCAATTGCCAGTCAATTGTGGTCAATGTGTTCTTTGCGTAATCTTTACACGACAACTGTTTGACAAACTCGGTTTGTTGTGATCTGTTTTCTTTTGGACGTAAATTGTACGCTCTAAGCAAAACATTAAAGAATGCTTGAAATAGCGCCTTTATTGTTATAATCTTGAGGTCGTCGGGGCATTCTATGCTGTGAGTAAGGTCATTTTAGATAGGCATTTATGTCGGCTAATCGAGCGCTAGAGAGTTTCATATCGTGGATTAGCAAGCGATTATACCAGGAGATATTTCCATGTATTTACTCACCGTTTTTCACGGTTTTGTGCAGAAAAAATCTCTTTCAAGTGACGAAGCATTCTCCCGTTGCATCGATCAGAATAACTTGAATTGTTCCGAGGGCAAAAGAAATTCAGCAACGACCCTGAGTTGAATGAATTCAAATGAAAATGTATTTCGAGGTATTTAATGTTAGAATGAATGTATTAAAATAAATCTCCTATATGAATAATCTTTGTGAGTTCACACGCCCTAAAATAAACGATATATCCTGCGGAAATCAGATGCTAAACTTCGCCCTCTCCAAGAAAATAAGCATGTCACCAAAAAAAATATTATAGCAAAAAAAAAACAAAAAAAAATCATATTTCGATGCTGGGAATTATTTGTGATACAAACTTAACCGTTTTTTTTTCCTTTTTAACACCTTCCCTCAAAAGTTTCCAACAAAGCTTTGATCTCCTCGAAACCCAATGATTTTACGAAAACGGATCTGTACCTTCACCTCGGATAGTTTTTGTTGTGTTGTAGGGGTTTATTACTTGTTAAAGATAAACGTTAACACAGGCAGCACCATTTCGATCAATTATGGGTGAACTGTGTATGGAATGTATTCTGACACAAGGGGTTTATAGTTTAAACTGTGTTGTCACATTTCAGTTACACCTGAAAGCTAAAAGCACGAAGACTTCAGGGTAAACAGACAGAAAATCATATTTTGCTGATTTCACAGATGATACACTCAAGTGTTGATGAAACAATAATCATTTCCTGATCTCCCATGCAGAATTAATCCACTGAACTGGAAATTGTACGAGATTTTATCGACCACTTGGCTAAGACTACATAATTTCTTCATTGATAATAGCATAGTTTTTTAACCTCCTCGGAAGCACACGGGCCAAAAATGGCTTGTCCGCTCACTCCAGGAAAAAGCATTACTTAAAGTACTGAAATGGCTTCATACTGAGAGAACGGCTTATGAAAATTTAAAAAATAAACAATAAAAAAATCCACAAAACAAGCAGTTGCAATCTCGGCAAGCTACACGTATAGAATTGGTTTCGGTTTCTACGGAACACCAGCGTTCGAGCATGAATTTAATGGAATCTCATTAGCTAAGAGCTTTCACTAAAATGCTAAAATTAAGCGTAGTCATTGTAACGTGTTTCACCAGTTTTATATTTCCACTTTTTAAAAGTTTTATGTTTCTAATGAATGTCTCCCTTGGTGCAAAAGTCCAGCAAGCCTCGTATACGTGTACAAAAAGGTCTCAGTAACTCGTTTGGGTGAGGGAAGACGTTGTTGGACATATCTGTTTTATTATTCAGGGTTATATTTACGAATATGACGAGACACGACAAAAGAAATAAGAGGTTATTTAGATGGATTCCAAGACTGACTGTTGATAGGACGCGAGACGCGTCGCAAATAAAAAATAGCATTTATGCGGCCGAAGAAGTCAACAAACTTTATTAGTTTTAAAAAATCCAGATGTCTGGGAAATGGTTGTCAGTCGCTCTGGTTTCATCAGACGCACCGACTTTTGACTTTTTAAGTTCTAGAATCCTCAAAGAGTAATGGCAAAGATCTATAACGCGAGGAAAGACATAACGAGCATTTTCTAGTGTCGAGTTTCTCCCGATGCCTTCAACGTCTGCTTGAATCACGAAAGTCAATTGATCCGAAAGTGGAGTTAAACTTTGGAAAAAAAAGGTGAGGGGCGATATCACATACGATACCTCACTTTTATTTAAGAGTATAAAAACCTCAGAGATAAAGATTTCTGCTATCTTGAGGATCGCTTACAGCACCGAACGACACAAACTAAAGACCACGAGACAAGAATTTCCGCCCGCCATATTCAATTACAATCTATTTTTCATCCAGGGATGTTGATCATAAGGTCATTGGTGTCTAATTTAGTGAAAATTTGTTTCCTTTTAATCCTGCAGCGAATTGATGATCACCAAACGTTGCCACCAATCCTTCGATGTAACCATCAGAAAACGGCTACTCTCTAAATTCCATAATAAAGGGTTTACTTAATCGGTCCTTGAGATGTCCATGACTGTGTCTGTAGTATATCATCCATTTTTCCCAACATTATTGCTTTTAGCTTCCGTTCCAAGTGATAACCTCGAACGTGCATATGTCATCAAGCTCTTTGCATTACAAATATTTCCTTTAGTACTGCAAACCATACCCCCGGGGAGGTTGTCTCTCGTTCGAAAAATAATAGGAATTAACGCACTTTTCAGGTGATTTCCTCATCATTAAACCTTTATTCTTTTAACATTGAATAACTTTAAGTGTAGCTGTTGTTAATACAGAAAAATGCAGTCACAGCACTTTGACAGACAATATGACATATGGACTATATTATTAAGTGTTTGTCACATCGAAGGACACTTCGCACATAAACAAAGCCCTGCCCAATAGTTGTTGGCACAATATATGATCTGAACGAAAATAAGTTTAAAATCCAATTAACTCTTTTATTTTTCTCCGATCCTGCTTCGAATGTGCTGGTGTAGAAGTGAGAGACGTTCTCGAGTTCTATTGTTTCAATGGTTTATAAGTTTATTTTCACAAAGGGAATCGCTGATTTGGCCGCAACTAAAGAAGAATGTAACCAACAGTTCCGAAAACACGTGTTTTTTTGGCATCCAGTATATTTCAAGATGGTGTACTCTGCGCCGGAGCAGTGCCTTGAAGTTCCGCCAAATATACACATCGGCTCCTACAGTTAAATACTTAGAGGCCTTGTTTTGGCAACATAATTGGTCGGCATGCAAAAAGGAAAGAGAGCTAGGGGGAAATTCTATTCCAGCTCAAGGAGCTGAGAGCGACTCAGGTCCTTGCGCCCAAATAAATTTGAAATTATCCCTTTTCCGTCTCCTTGTTTAATGAAGATGAAGGTTAATCCCGAAAGAAACGCTAGTAAGGTTTTGGCCCAACAACAAAAGGGTAAATGGACTTTCTGTAGTAGTTTATGTTCATAAAACATTCAGGTATTATTGTTCTTCGGGTTTGAGAAGAAAATGAAATACATGAATCAACCTGTTGCATACCACAGTTGAGAATGTTAATTGAAAAACTTTTATAAATTGTTATTAGATGCGACTTTTGACCAAAAAGGGCACGAATTCCACGAATGCTTAATTAATTAAAAGACGTTATCAAGCATTTCGCGAAAGATATTGAAATTTGATAAAAGAGACACTGATAAGGAGAGAGGTCGAGCATAAAGTTCACCGAAAACAATAAAAAAGTGAACCTTTTGCTTTCAACCCTTTGTGTGTTGAAAAGGAAATATTTTCATTAACAGTGATCTAGAGTTCTTTATTTGTCGTTTTTTTTCAAGGTTGATGTGAAAATTTTAGGAAAGTGATTGGAATCAGAGTTCCGTTTTGCTCATTACTAATGCTGTAAACCTTATGGTTAAACTCATCCGCGGTAAACAGTTTTCCGTGAAGTTAATGTATTTAGAGAACAGTTCGCATCATCTTTACCCTCTTCGCAGAGTGTTATTGTCTGATTAACAAAAGACCCTTAAATGGGGGTTACTGGTGTTTAAGTGTATAAAAAATCTTTAAATTATATTGTAAACTGCTGTGAGAGATTGTGGTCAAGCCAAAGATATTCAAATGAAAATGTCGTTAATGTTCATGATATACTTTGCAACCCCCCTATCTGCGACCTCTTGAATACTGCGTGTTTCCATCACTACCACAGACAAAATTACCTGCTATTTACGGAGAGAGGCGAGAAACAATAATCTATACAACCCCTCGAAGGTGTGTACCCTCTTCGAATAAATGGGAAAGTTATGCGTGCTAGAGAATTGATGAATTGGGGGTAATGCGGTAATCAGACAGGCAAGCCTATTAGCAAGGTGCTCTTTCTGCACGCAACAGACTTCGGGTAACTGTTTTGGAAACGCTTGTGTTAATCAGCTTAACTCAACTTTTTAACATCTTTAATTTTTGAAATTGGATAGCGTGGTTTCGTCATTGAAAATCTAATCCAACGATATAAAAATCAAATTTAAAAGGCGTCCATATGGCTTGTAAAATTAGTTGTTTCTTCAATCACGAGTTACCAACGTGCTGCGGTTCGTTTACGTTGCGCGTTTCTGTCAGTGCGTTTCTTCTACTTTCTGTGAGAAAACTCCAGGTGCAAGTTACTCTTTTTTTGGCTCTTTCCTAATCCGTTCAAACAAATCTGATCTACCATTCCATTACCAATTGCATGACATGTCTAACTGAATATTTATGGTGCATGTTATTACTAATATTGTACTTCCCCAACACCATTTTCTAAAGGGCTACTTTATAGATTTCGATATTTAAAGTTATTTGCTAACCCTGAAACATCAACCATTAATTTAGCCGGTATCTGTGATTTGACGCCTAAGGTTTGTTCGTATGGACTCGTGCGAAAGTCACTTATACGAGAACGTCGGGCTTACATAAATAGGCCGCAGTTCTCGTAGGAAATTCTTTGTGTAAATTCCTTTTCCCAAGCTTTTCAATCATCGCCTCAGTTCAGAGTTAATTACTTATCTGTAGTAAACAAATATGATATATGTTTGTCGGCTTGATGACAGCTCTGGTCGAAGATCTATGCACTTATAATAGTTTATAGAACTGCTAAATTAGATAAGTTATTTCCATAAAATTATTTCAGCGTTCGGGACACAATATTCGGCGTTATCTACACCCAAATCTATGAGGGCTTCGTGCTTTAAAACTAGCCTAGGAGATTGGATTATCAGATCTAAAGCTTGACTCGTGCGAAAGTCATTTCAACAACAATGTCGGACTTTGAAGTTCATGGTTGGATCCTGGCCATGCGAGTACTAGAGTACTGTTTATAATTCCAGCGACATTGATTAAACATTGATTAAATAAAAAGAGAAGGAACAAACAACAAAACAAGGCAAACGGACAATAATAACTAAGAGTTGCAATGAAATAACAATAATAATAATAATAATAAAAATAATAAAAAAAACGTTTGGACTTGTTTCCAGCTACTGCCGTAAATGCATTAGAATGAAAATAGTTGATGATTTTCAAAAGACTTCCTCTAAGCCGTTTCAGAACACAAGTCCTATCCTTTCCTTGGAAGGATATAATAGAACTAAATGGTCATGTCGAATTTGCGAGCGAAGGTCTGGATAACGAGTCGTTGTTAGTGGTGTTCAGCTGTTGCCTTCGACACATTGGGCTAGAGACGAAAAGTTGTTTTGATTTCACACTTAAAGGTAAATACAAAATAGAATTTTGCACGTATTTAAAAAAGAAAAAAAAAGCGGTGGAGTATCTTGTGAACTGGAAGGGTGTATGTGTGAAAAAATTATAGGTGATCAAACTTATGATACACCTCTAAACTGAAGACAACCACTATTCTTCTCCACGCCAGTTGGGTGAAAAGTTACACAAACGAAATTAAAGAAAACACATTCAACTAGAGACCAAAGGAAGGAAAAACTTAAACTCATGAAACAGAGGCGATTTTCGTGAAGTCAAAGATCAAGGTACATAAAATGATCTTAAAAAATTGAACAAGGTTGCCAAATAAACTAAAGACAGACTGAGTGTTATCTTAAAAGGTCATCTCCGTTATGTGGTTTTCGGGTCAGGTTATGATTATCTTTGAAGGCAATCAAGTCTGGAATAAAGATGGAAGATTGACGGAAACCCTGATAATTTTGACTGATTAACTTTAAAGTGAACCAAAGCCGTGAATACAAACTGTCACAATGAAGAGGACAATGAAGCTCAAATGTATTTCAAAGCCTGGAATTTGGCGAGCCTCCAGTTTCCGCAAAAGTTCTAGACAGGTCCTTAGCTGGGTTGTTCACTCGTCTTTCAACTAATAACACTGACACTTGTCGCATTTGACAAGAAGTTCAATATCCCTTTACTGCAACTCTGTATGGCGACAAGGGAAACGATTTTTATGGGAGTTAGGTGAGGATGGAGAAATTAAGCGGTGAGGCAAACAGGAATTCCTTAACAGGCCCGAGCATTGGCATAAACTCAGTAGTTGCACAGCTGAGTGTCTGGCGCAGAGTCGTACAACATTCGTAAATATCAACATTTCGAACACTCGACGTAATGTGAATAATGGAGAATGAACAATCAGCGATATTGACGAGGAAATTCAGTACACGTTTCCGGCAGATTTCTCGCAAACCCACCAAAACATGGACAATAAAAACATGTTGTGAATGAAGTTCGCCCTACGCACAAACAGTAAAAACCCTTGCCAAATCAATTGTAACCAAATTACGGTCCAATTAATGTTTACATTAGTGGCTGGGCGATGGGCCAGTTCTTGAACGATATGTCAAGCTCTTGTCTTAAGCTTTGCCCAGAATGTCTGGAGGCTGGCGGGGATTTTCGGTTGAAATTATCCCTATTTTCAACCTATCATCACAAAAATCTTCTTCGGGTGAAACCTTTTGGCCTTTGTAGCGGTGTAAATTACCATTATCAATACATACTTTTTATCTGTTTTAACTTGTAGGGCATGTAGTGCATTGATAGCAGATTTAACTAAGACATCTTAACCTAAGCTAAACAAGATAAAAGTACAATACAAGAGTCGTCCAAAGACGCCGGCAAAATTTAGATAGTATGAGTGTAATCTTGACTGGTAAACTAAATTGACCTGTTCCTCAATCTGAAAAGTTTGGATCAACGGTAATACTTCGTTCTTCGTCTGATTAGAAATAACGGAGAACTACATGTTGCAAAAAACTTTTCGATCTATGATCAAATGAACCATCAGTTTTTGAAGAACAAGTTATAACAAATGTTATAATGATTAGAGAAAATAAACAGTTGTTTGAAAGATCGAGAGAAAAGATACGTGTGAAGGTACAACAGATTAGCTGTTACTTCCTATTTTGTGATAATTTAATTTGAGACGCAAACGACCCTAATGACGCAGCTAAACTTCAAAACGTCCTCCTTTGCGTGACTTAAGCTAAGTTGAAATAAACGCGAACCTTCAGCAAACGAGTGTGTATCTAAAGAGAGTGTAAAGAAAAGAAAGTCCGAGAACAATTAAACTTGTTTTTTTTTTTTTTGTAATCGCCTAATCTCCTTTATATGTCGTGAAAAGCAATCCACAAGTTAGCTAATAGAGCTCTTTTCGATTGAGTGTCCAAAAAAAAAAAACCCCGAAGCCCAAGTAAATACAACAGCCAATCAGAGGGAAGGAACATTTCGCAAGGAGCCAAAGAGAACTAAAGTGTAAACAAGCTAACTCACGAAGCGCGGGAAAACGCGAGTGACCAAGTCACGACTGATTTTAGTTTTAAATCTGATTGGTCGATGGGATGGCGTGACATTTCCTGACCAATCAGACTCAAAAGCTTTCTACTGTCTGTTTAGTTTTCTCAATGATAAGCCAGATTAAAAACAATATTACACATTCCCTTCCCAGTAGTAGTAACTGAGACGGGTTTTTGGATGGGAAAATTTATGAGGCGATTATACCTTAAGTTATTAAAGGAGAGATAAATACTTCAAAAATCTATTTTCTTGTTATTGTAAGGCTGTAACAATTGTGAATTTTTAAAATTCTCTTTGTTAAGGCTATACGCGGCCAGTATGTCACATACTAAAACTAACCATCTAGTCAGCATAACGTTTTTTAAAGTAGCTAATATCATTCTACTGATATAACTTGTAAGTACAAAGTCTTATGCGTTCAAACAAATCTAGCAGAGAAAAACAAATTGAAAGATAACATCACTTTATCTTGAAGAAGTATCAAGTATTCCTATGCATTTCAAAGTTCTTTCAATGATAAAGAAACATTGTCACCAGTGGTCACACATTAATCACTTCATCACTGGTAATAACACTTCAGAAACACTTGAAGCGAATTTTTATGTGCTTGGGCTCCAGCAGCGTCTCAAGTTGAGAAATATGGCACAATAGTCTTTGTCTGTACACATTTCCGTAGCCTTGATATCAACATCCTGTTACACAAACCCTACATCCGCCGGCTCGCTATCCGTTGGCATAAAGTTAGGCTTCTCATGTTGAGCACGAGAAGTGTAAAGCATCACAATCGAGCACCCTCTTCCGGTTTCCATGGGAAATCTTGAGTTGGCTCTCACTGTAGTACACACCCTGTAGAGAGAAAAACAAAGAAACAAATACAAAACTATATAAAAATGAAGACTCTTGTACAAATCGTTTACATTACTTCATAGGGAAGCCTAGTGCACTTCTCTCGTCACAGTGCGGTGTAAACCTCTCATTGTACTCTCTGGTATTGTGGCTTGGTTTGGTCAGCCGCCCATTTCATTAAATTATAAAACATTGCATCTACGTGTTATTGGTTGGCTGTTATCGCGCATAATTCACAGCAGCAGTGTCAGTACGCAGCAAATCTCTACTTTTTTCAGTGCGCTATCAGTTCTGTTCCATAACAGTTTGGCAAGTTACAGCACTTGTTCGCCTACACTTATAACTTCCGCTGTGGGTAAAATTCTAAATGTCGTTTGGTTTTCTTTACATTTAGATTGATTAAATAAACTGGCGTTGAACAAACTCAGTTATCTTCTCGTATCCTTCTTTCCCCTCCCCTCCCCTCCCCTGTTCTCCTGTTCCTCTCGTCTATTATCCCTTCCCCACTAGGAAATTATCAATTTCTAAGCCTGATTTGAGAATCCAAGATGGCAGCTACATATCTCGCGAAACTGCTTTTGCTCGCCGAAAAAAAACATCTACCGCAGCTTAAATTTTTTTTCTCGTCGTACGACGGCAAATTTTATAGCTTGGGCTACTCATTTTATTTTCTCTCCCCTTTTTTTTGTTCCTTGAAGTCCGAAAACGTTATTAAGACATGCTGGGGTTGTTTGGTATGGTATGAATCAATAACTCATGAAGTGTTCATTAGTTTTATCATGTACAGTCTAGGTTTGACTTCAAACTGAGATGTTCTTCGGTGTTACAAGACCGGAACAAGAAAATTATGTAACCACATTGCTTGTGTTCAAAATAAAGAAAAACCTTACGCATTTTGGTTAATCGTTCTATAAGGTGACTATCGTTTGACACAAATTCTACCTTCATTTATACTACTAAGTGGAAATAACAACATAACGCAAAAACAACAGCAAAGAAAACCAACAAAGAAGCAGGATAAAAACGCTCCTGACTCTCATTCTGAGCTATATTTTGAACCTTTTGTTAATCCACGCTCCAACGTTCGCATAAAAAAGCCCTTTTTATAGCGTCTCTTTAATATCAGACATTTTAATAACGTTGAACCTCTATCGAAAGCGACTTATTATTCTTCGCCACATCCCTTTTTTTCATAATTAGCTGAGAGAGCTTCCTGAGAAATAATTTGATTTGTAAAGAGCGTGGGAAAAGGAAAAATACCAGAGTCCATTGCGAGAATTTGCACCCCGGACCTTGGGATTTCGCGCTCCGATGCTCTATCGCTTAGCCACAGAGAACTCTGAACTGAATGTAATAGCCTTTGACACACATCCAGTATACCTATACGATTAGCAATGTCGAAAGCAACTTGAAAGGATATAGAATAGAAAAGATGACAAATTTTGAGCTTAGTCGTGGAGTACATAAAGTTGATTTTGGTTATAAGTGAATTAGCTAAAGCATTGGGACGCCAAATCCTAAGGTCTGCGGTTTGATTCCTGCCTGAAACTCCCATTTTTTTTTCGCTTCACGCTCGTGAATAACATCTTTGTTCGATCGAAGATGGAGTAAAAATTCATCATCTCTCTAATGCTAGGACTTAGGATCGAAAAAATTTCTCCAGTAAAATTTTAATCTATAGGTTCATTTAATAAATTAGGCGTGAAGAAAGGATGTAGATTATTTCCTATTTTTAATTCTACATGACTACGTATCTTATTAGTATTAATTTAATTATTTCCTAATTTTAATTCCATATAACTACCTATGTTAAAAAAAAAAAAATTTCAAAGTCGTGTCAAAAAATACTATGTGCTGATTGATTTTGCGATGCTGCTCCTGACTTTAACAAATTTTGAAAGTTTTACAGTCTTTTAAAGTCCAGGATCATGACTCTGTACCTTTGTCGGGCATTGTGGTACAGTAGAGATTTTTCAGGCTACAATGCCCGCACGTTCGCGTGATTGTTCAGACTGTTTTGTTGTAAATTTTTTTCAGGTTAATTTGTCAATTCCCTCCTAAGTGATAATAATATTAATGCAGTTTATACCCTAGGGCATGAATATGTTTTGGGCCCCCTCGACTCGGGTTGAAATGAATTGTAGTCTGTGCCCGCAAACAAAAACTCTATTTTTCAAATAGGTTGTTCTACGCACCTCTATCACATTCCCGCTTCTCATACGTAAAGAGCACATTAACAATGATGTGCTGGGTTTTTGAAAGAAAGAAGTCGAACATAAACATTTCCACCCAGCGAGGATTATAGATCCAACGCCTTTAATTTAAAAGTTAAATTTTCTTCTTATAATACTTATGGAAAAGTTTGGATGATGGGCATTATTTCCTAACTTGATTATAAGCTAACCAGAAAATATTGGCTAAATCAACCAATAACGGAAATTTAATCAAGACAGTGGAACAGCTTACGTACGCCCTTCGGCCCGTCCGGTAAGATTCACCTAATTTCCTAGTCATGTTAATTTATGGTTAAATTTAGAAATATCTAATGACCTTCTCAGTTTTATTGTCTAGGAAATGACCTCGAAAAACAAAAAAATCTTCTTATAATAACTTAGCCGGAATAACTTGCTATTTTTATCGCTTTTGGTTTGCAGAATCAAGCATAGTTGGAGGGAAATAAGGGTAAAACCGCACTCGGATCTGCTATGTTGTGTCTTGGATTAGAGATTAAATTAAGAACTCTTTAATCTGGTGCTAAGATTATTTTCGCAGATTACAGCGAGCTTTGGTATTGTGTGTGAATTCCAGAGTCTGATAAATTTCCATTTCTTCACGTACTGTGCCTGGTCTGCATATCACGAAAAAGATTTGAAATACCACAAAAACATTCTTATTTTTTCTGCTAGGCTTTTGTTAAAAGCACAGATTTTTGCGTTCGAAATCTAGGATCAGTAAAAGCGACACCTGCCGTAGAATCATTAAAAATCTGTTCCGGTTCTTTAACTGTTAAAATCTCTCCACAAGAGAGAAGCTTTGGGAATATTGGCAAATTTTCTTGTATTCAAACTGATCAAGTTCCTCATTCTCCTGGTAAGCGCAGTTTGATTTGTTCCAACATATTAACAAGACGTTAGACAAAGATCACAGTACTTGAGCCTCTGGACATACTCACTGATTGAACTAAACAACAGATGTATTCAACATAAAATCTCTGCGCCAAAACAATATTACAATTATTTTCAAGCGAGGGTAGTTCAACTGGCACCAAACGACCATAAATCGACGTTTGTTAATCATTTTATATCCTTCAAGGGTGCCATCAGTTAAACTAATACTTAAATATCCTTCGCTCTATTTCCACCAGCGCGTGCAATTGTTTACGTAAAGCTTTGCGTCAACTATGGATACCGAGTGGGACTGGGGAGATACGAAATATTTTCCTCGCTGTCTCTCCATAGGGCATGAAAGTGCAGGGATTACGTGAATCACACGCGAGAACTCACGCTCTGCGTTAAGAAAGGTTAGCTTTAGACTACAAGTGAAATGCAAAGAGAAAGAAACAATAAAAGAAAATAAACATAAAAGATCGAATGACTCGAACAACAAAACAAGGCGGTGCTTCATCCTCTGCATTTTAAAGTCCGTTGCTCGGGCAAAAGGAAATCGGGGAAAAAAAATTAGGCGTCTGGCGAACACGAGAAGCACCTATCCCTACCGCTTGAAGTCACGACAATGACGCCGTGGAAAACGTCGATTATAAAATGAACCTTCATTTATAATAAGAAATAAACGGCCTTTAACGGCACCGCTCTAGACAAATTCCTTCAGCATAACATGAGCATGAGATCATGTGACGGCAGCGTTGAGTACGTAGAAGAGAAACATTGGTAATATATCGTCGGTTTCCGATATCAGAATACGAAGAATTTAGCGACTTTACCTCTTCGTTTTTAGAGATAACGGCTAGGACATGTGCAAGGTTTCAAACACATGTGCAACGAGACAGATCTACTTATAAACCCTTTTTTGCTGTGGTAGCATCGTGATTTGCTCGGCGTTCTCAGTCAACGCCGACTTTCTTTTCACTAATGAATTTCACTCGCGCTGTGGAGCAAGTTCGGAACCAGGCCTGATTCGGAACGAAGGACCGTTTGTAACATAGAATTCATAAGGTGTGTTTACACTTCAGTTATTTTTCATAGTAAATATCAAGAACGCTAAGTGCAAAGTTCCATTTTAAAAGTCTTAAATCTTCAAGTCATTCCCAGCAGAGTACATGTCTGTAGCTATCGGATGTTAGCTAGACTCAGTACGAGTACAACAGCCTCTATATGGATATCGACTACAATTAAAATCTCAATTAAAATATTTAAAACCTGTTGCCCATCGAAAAGAACAGCACAGTTTAACGAACACATTGAAAAGCTGTTAACCACCTCTGCTCAAATCTAACCTGGTAACCGAATAGGTTTGCTGAACGTGAAATCATTCAGATTTCAATGCGTTTCTCTTTCTCACGCGCTCTTTAACGTTGCATTTAAAACATTTGTGAAGGTAACAGAATAAAAAGGAAAAGAAGACCTTGTTTCAAGCAACGCTAATACAACTTGAACATGTGCCCTCAATCAGAACTCCATGAGTAGTTTCCATACCAGGTGTTTCAACATTTTTATTGGTACAACTCGCACACATCTGCAGAACTCGTTCAAAAGTAATTACAAGAAACAGAAACTGCATCAATCGATCATGTACCGGACACAAATGGACTTGAATCTAATCCAAACAGTGAAACAATTAACGCGCAAATCCTTCATGAATGTTTCTATCAAGTTCACTCATTTACGTTCGCATTCAAGAGATTGAATTTCAGCCGTCAAAACCTGAAATTATCATTATGTTCTTTCGCAATTTACAACAAATAGTATTTTCCGTATTCTTCACACAAAAGAATAAAAAGAGATTGTATTGATAATAAAACAACTGCCAGGTAAAAGAACAAACAAAAAGAAAACGGAATCTCTTGCAAGCAGTGATGCCACTTCATGTTGTTGTTTCTTCCGTCTGAAGTGGGAAGTCGATGTTTCTCCCCTTGAACTCGAAAGTGTTATCTTTCCGAATAATTAAACAAAAATTGAGACCAAACAGTGACATATTTTTTCCAGTTGAGCTTAATCTACGTTACAAAAACATCCATTGTTTTGTAGAGAAACAAGACGGACGATTGTTATGGTGCTTATTTGGGCCGTTCTACATCAAGTACCGACATTAGATTTTCTAAAATGAAAAATGTATTTTCCAATTTCAAAATTCTATTATAAGAAAACGCAAACAACAAATTACATTTAAAAGTTAATCTGGCTAAGCTGTTATCGAGATTTGAGAAGCGCGGCTTCATGTGTAAAGCTGATCGCTTTACATTCACACGAGGGGTTAAGTCAAAGTCCTTCGTCTTAAGAATTTGTACTTAAAGTTAAATAAAAATAAACACACGTGAGAACAAGCTAGGGCACATTGAAATAGTTGCAATTTCCTGCTTATTGAGTTAAAAGAGATTGAAGTAACCCATAGTACAAATAAAAAGACGCTTTTATGAAAGCATGAACTAGTCAGGAACAAGAGATTATAACTTTTTGTCAGGAACCAAATGTTTTAGTGAACTACTTTGGGGTTTGCGTGATATTGCCTTAAGACAGATCGACAATCATATTAGACCTGCTATAGAGGACACCTTTCGTCACTCGAGGAATACTCACGAGTCCATCAAACGACAGAAAAAGGAATGTGTGAGAGAGAAAGAGAGAGAGAGAGAAAATACCTTGCAGGTCATTGAAAGCTTCATAATTGCAGATATTGCAAATTTTCAAATCAAGACTAGCCTAAAAAGGATCAAATTTAGATTCTTCCAATCTGGCTAGCCTAAAATTTGCTTTAAAGTGAATACAAGTTTGAAATTGTATTAGAGAGACAGTTCAAGTGCGCTAAAGGGGGTATAAAGATGTAAATTATAGTAAGTCTATCACTAGATCTCTCTACTTTAATTAATTTAAACTCTGAATGAATTAATTTAAGGCTTAGAGCAGATAACTCCAACTGAGCCTAAGATCTGCTGAAACGCTGCCGAGGAAGTTCCAACATGGAAGACAACACCAATTAATAGAACTCTGATAATGAAAAACTTTTTGTTCGGAGCAATTTGAACTGCTTGTAGAAAATAATCCGGATCTGTAGAGCTTTGGCTTTCCACGGTCGGTGATTGGTTTGGAAAATTCGCGCCAACCACCACCAGATGTGAGACCAAAACCAATCGCGGCTTGGTAGCCCGCGTTTTCCCGCGCTTCACTCCCGTTACGGGGAGTTTTCATTGAATTTTGATTTTGATTTGTTCTAACAGGGTGTGGTGCCTACTGCGGTTTCATTATACGACCCTCAATTGAAACGCGCGTACAAATAAGTCAAACGAGTAAATTCATGTGCATGGTTACTCAGTTTCTGGAATTTTGACTAACCCTAAACCGCCTAATCTGGTTCGAAGCCGCCGTTTTGGCTCGTCACGCAATGTGCACGGGCAACACATCGCGTTACAAGCGATAAAACGGTTGCGATGGACACTACCTCCTTTCCCTCCCTCCCCCCTTCATAAAATCAATGAGTTCTATCATTATCATTATCAACTTATACAAAAACTCACGTGGCTGTTCTTCTCCGACAACGCTGATTTTTTCTTTACTCAGCTGAGAGGTAAAAAAAAGTTATATTAGTTAATTCTGTTACTTCACCATATATATACCTCTGGACAAATATCTTCCTCTTAAGACTGAGCACGAGTAAGGGACAATCAGAACGGGACCTAAAGTTGCACTCCATATAAAAACCCCTCCCACTCCACCTCCTCCATCCTACGGAAAAGAGACCCCGTGTGACATTCTTTCGTCTTCATGATAATACAAAATCTAAAAAAAAGAATCTTCACTGTCCCAATGAAATAGAGGCCCAAGTGGAACGAAAGTTATTTTCAGCCCAAGAATTATGAAATGGATGGACATGAAACCCGGCGAAATGAGCCCCTCTTCAACGCAGATTCAGTTCGGGCAAAATATACTCCTCCGACACTGAGCTCAACAAAAGCAAAATGCTTTAAAAAGAAATCCTATTTGAAAAAACACTTGGCCAGGTGAGGAGCAGTTAGCTCCAGGTAACCATGGATACTCCTGGATGAAGAGGGGCTCTATGATAGTAAAGTACTTTGCTCCGAAACATACTTCTGCATGGAAAAGACCCCTATAACACAACACAATGACCATTGCTGGAGCGTCAATCTTAGCAGCTCACCTTAAGGTAAAGCTTGATTTCTTCAGCTCGTTTCATATACTTTTCCACCTACAGATGCCGGCATACAGAAAGACAAAAAATGGTTTGAGGGGTAGAAGTTGTTAACTGTGTGTTGACAGTATCGCGGGATCGCATTAGTTTTGCTTTACTTCTCTCCATTATTGGTTTGGAAAACTCGCGCGTCTCTCTAGACCACACAAATTCAAAACTGAAATAAACCGCGAAGATAATATTCCGATAGGCTCCTTCTCCTTGTGGTATCTTTTTCGATTACGATTTTGGTTTTAGTTCTAGGGCACTCAATCGATAGCGTTCAAGGAAAGATATCTAGTTGAGCTTTTAGTTACGACATAACTTGCCTCTAAATGCACTGCTTCCTTGTACGATCCACGAGGTGTACCTAGAATATGACAG